AGTACTGATTACAAAGCATAATTATTGCTTAAACATCTTCATCTCCCCTACACTTCAACCGCATCATTAGTTCTTTCCAATAAGTCCATCCTCAACGATGTTTCTCCTTAAACAAGTAATAACATCACAATAAGTGTAAACGCTATTGACTAAATATTAGAGTAAATATAAAGAAGGTAAAAGAATCATTGAGGGTTGTGAACTAGAGGATCTAGTCACTCTTCTGGATGATGGTTGGGCTGGTTGTAAGCTATTAATTCTCCTTTTCTGGTTTCCTCTTTCTCCAGTGACATGGAAAACTGGATCATGGGCGATGGGAGTTGTCAATTCATTGACATTATTGGCAGACTGAACTGGTTCATGAGAGCTTGGTTCACATCTTTCATCATCAACACCTATCCCTCTTTGAGCAGATTTTTCCTTACCTAACCTCTTTCTCCTTTGCCATGGTGTTTCTTCAATAATGAATGTCTTACACCATCCCACTTGCTTACAGTTGCCACAAATAACCTGCTTACCCGCCTTAGACACCTTGAAGGGATTCCTTGTTTCATCAGGTTGTTTAATCCTCCTTTTCTTGTCTTCCTACAGGTTTTCTAGGGATTAGGGGCAGCTCAATGTATGGAGTCTCTATCCTCTCCCACTCATCTTTACTTGGTAGAGGATAGATAATGCATGTGTTTTTAAACAGCCAAGTGGGTGGATTTAGCATAAAAAGGACTGACATAGGCTTTAGGTTTTTCACTATTTGTGTATGTAGCAGACACTCCATGCTTACAAGCAATCCCATTTAAATCCCACCTTTGGCATGTACAAATCTTACCTTCTAGGGGATCTTGCTTATTAGGAAAGATTTCACCCTTATATTTCATCATGGCAGTGTACTTCACATGAAACTTAGTCATCAATCTTCTTCTAATCCATACAAACATGCTCAAATATGCATCTCTCTAGCTCTAAGTATGTATGCACTGAATGAGTCACAAGTGTGGTTCTGAAGAGCATCAGAGTGTGCTTCGGTTGAGAAATTAGATCTACTCCTAGTACTCAGATCGTCCTGCATTATCCATTTGTAAGAAGACTCATCAAAGTTCTTGATTCCTTCCATTGCCTCTATGATAACTAGGGCTTCTTTTTGTGCTACTCCCTCTGGAAATATTTTTGTAGTTCTCATACATGTGCTTCACACAGTATCTGTGTTCATTTGCAAGTGAAACAACAATGAATTGCATCCTTGTAGAGATGTTGGTAAAGACAGGGAAAATCATGTTTATCGGTTAATTTATTTACTTCTAAAGGTTGCATTGACCTCACTTGTTATTACAACCAAGGTAGAAAGAGCATTTTGAACAATGAAAATTGTGGAATCTAAGTTGTGAAGTCAGATAGTGTGAATGATTGTTTAATTTATTTTATAAAAAAGTTATGTATATGATAACCCTACCAATAGGATAATTATTCAACACTTTCAAAAAATGCAAGCACATGGAAGATAACTATAAAACTTTATTTTTCTTTTATTACAAGTCTACAACCTTGTTACTAATACATATTTTATTAGTATTGTTCTTTTATTACAAGTCTACAACCTTGTTACTAATACGTATTTTATTTTTTCCTTTACAAAGTAACTCCCTTGCCATGTACGACTAGTGTTGTGTACCTAATAAAATATGTATTAGTGTAGAAGGTTTTAGGTGTAAGATGTTGCAAAGTGTTCGCTCAAATGATTGAATGACATGTAACTTTGTTTAAGGTATGAAGTTATTTACTTATCCACATATAATGTGTTATCACGTATGAAGTTGTTTAGCCAAAAGATTGACAATTCATATGAAGTTATTTAACCAAAAATAGAACATATATCCAGCCATTCATAGAACAAGTTACATTGCACCCAATTACATGCTACTTTCATTTAACATAACATAACATAACATAACATAACATAACATAACATAACATAACATAACATAACATAACATAACATAACATAACATAACATAACATAACATAACATAACATAACATAACATAACATAACATAACATAACATAACATAACATAACATAAAATAACATAAAATAACATAACATAACATTTTAAGAAGCTAGCCCACAAAACACAACATTTTAAAAAGCTCATAGGTAGCCAGATTGCCTCCAATTACATCATAATACAATGATGTTCAAACATAAATATCAATATAAAACATATGCTTAAGAAATGCATGACTAGCAGGTTCATAATACTGATTACAAAGCACAATTAGTGCTTAAACATTTTCATCTATGTCACGCCCCAGACCACATCTAGGCGTGTGTACAACCACTGCACAATCATGTGACGTCACCCACAGGTCACCCTCACTCGACTGTACAAGGAGTCCATGAACATAGTTCATCCCATACTCAGTAAGTAAACATAAACAACAACATCACACTTTAGATTGAACGAATAACGGAATATTCAAGACTCAATCATGGGCCACATATGGCAAAATGTGGGCTCGCAAGCCCAAAACAAAGTATTCAGTACAAAATATCCACGAGCATAGTTTATAGTTTTAAAACAGTAAAGGAAGCACGAAGCACGCCTTCCTCGAGATCACTTCACCAAGTCAAAGGTGCAGGTAGGAAGCTTTAGCTTCAACCTGAAAATGGTAGGCCCCCCGAAGGGATCAGTACACCTTGTACTAGTGAGAAGCGGGCTAAATGTAGAACAACTAAAGTTTCAAGTATAAGATCCAAACATAGGATGATACATACATTTATAATTTCCTCCAAGTCTTTGAAATACATATAAGTATATACACCTGGAAAATATCCGACACGTAGGCCATTTGATTAGATCAATAAAATCATAGTGGACTTAGTCCATGACTTTCCCCATAACCGACCCCTTGTTTAGCTTTCTCGCCATAACCTAGAGTTCATTAATATACTCTTCATTTATGCATTCTCTTGAGGCCTTATTAATTATGCATCAATACATTTGTCACATAACAATTCTCTCTATAATTTACTCCTAACTTTTTCCTACAATATTAGTCATTTTGGGATAAGCCTGATGTTAAGCGGTAACTGACAAAACCACGAGTAACAGTTCGAGTGACGCATATTCTGTTAATGTAAGAGATAAGTGAACAAAGTTAACTAGTCAAAGTCAACATGATATGACAATATCAAAAAAGAAATGGAACGTGAAGTAAAAAATTTGTTACGGAGTACATTTTTCTGCTCCCAAGCATTTCTTAATAAAATTTGTTTTTTTTCAATAGATATTCAGTTTAATTTCTTCACACAGATATATTTTATCAAAATTTAGGACGACGTAGGCCGCGGCGTGGTTAAGGGCGACCAACTTAGACCCTAGCCCGCCCCAAATTTAAAAACGCCTTTATTCTTTGTGTTATATATTTTTTCAATTATATTCTTTGAATCGGCCCGGTGCCTTGGCTCTGCCCTTGGAGTCCAGGTCACAACCTAAGGTTGTCAACCTTCCTCTGTTTGGCTTTCAAGTTGTTAACGGCATGGCTCAGTTGAGCACCTACATTCTTAATCATTTGCAGTGGTGAGTTCAACATCATATTCATTAGCCAAAATAGTTAAGGGTCAACACTAAATCATACTGTTAGGCCTTGTTTGGTTCAAAGGAGGGGAGGGAAGGGGAGGGTTAAAGAGGGAAGGAAAGGGAAGGAGAAGGAAGAATTTTGATTTAAAAAAATTGTGTTTGGTTGGAGGAAATAGGAGGAAAGGTTTAATGAAAATATTTTTCCAATTTACCTTTATTTTGATAGCTTACTTAAAAAAATAGATGCATTTCTAATTATTGTAAATATTACTCCTAAAGCCGTGAGTCATAATTTTGATTTTTTACCTTTTTAGTTTTATAATTTTTTATCTTATAATTTTTATTTGTTAATTTTATTTTACAATTTTCCATTCTTGAATTTTAAATTTTTTAATATTTAAATTTTTTAACTTTTTAATTTTTTAATCTTTTAATTATAAAATGTTTAATTTTATTTATGTTTTACTTTTTTTATATTATAATGTTTTGTCCATTCACGTAGGAAATTGATAGTTTGTGATTATCAACATGTTTCCTTCGAAATACCCCGATTTGGGGGGTTTAGAATGGGAGGAAATGGAGGATTTTTGAAGTCTTTCACTTTCCTCCCCTTTCTCCCAATTTTCTTCAACCAAACACACCCAAATCTCTCACTTTCCTCTCCTCCCCTCTGAAATCCTCCAACCAAACAAGGCCTTAAGGGCGTTCCACGTTGGCATGTTTATTCCTCTTGCTGCCATAATACAGGTAAACCTTCAAAAAACCAACTTTAGTTTGTTCTTGTAAGTGTATTGTCGACACTGAAAACACACCTGGCGGACACACAACCAAAGTCGTTATGGTATGTGAAGAGGAGACCATGTTAAAACACATCTCTTTCAGTCTCCCCGCTAGCTCGCCCACTCCCAGACCTTCACCAAAAGAAGAAATGGGTATATCTTCCATTTCCTCCAAATCTACAAATTTATCCAAAGCAACCAATGAAAGAATAGTGAGGGTTCAACCCAAACCCATTTCATCTACGAAGATCCCACCACGGATAGGATCAAGAAATTTTGCAATACATTAATTCCCCATTGCATTGACAAAAACCCTATATCTTTCCTCCCAGAAAGGAGGCAAATATTTGGCACTCCTGCTGGACCAACATAGTAAGTGGGGCCCAATATGTTAGACGCCCAATATGAAGATGATGAATTGATGAAGAAGATGAGGAGATCTCAGCAAACAAAGCACCCGTGCATCGTCGTTCTCCTCTTAAATTTATGATTTTCTCTCAAATTTACAATTGTAGACATTGGAGCACAACCAAACCATTTTTAAATTTTATTATAAGCTATTCACATTAGAGTTATTGGACTACATAAGCCAACTAAATTATAATATAAGGGGGATTTCTGAAATAGGAGTAAAAACGTTTGATAATTCCAAAATAATATTGTCATATTTTTTATTTCATAATGTTTTTGTTCCATAATTCCATAATACAAGTGTGCAAGATATGTGCATAAAGTGTGCAGTGTGCACAAGATGTGCAAAAGAGGTGCACAAAATATACACAAATCCCATTGTAAGCAACAATTTTCAAACTCATATAGCTGAACTACTCCCTCTTATTACTTATTATTATCTTAATTTCACGTGACATAAAACTAAAGCTCCACATGAAAAAAAAATCATGGTGGAGAGACAAACTCCAAAAAAGAAAAAGAAGTGAGAGAACTACTTTTACCGGCCAGAAGCCGCAAAATTCCCATCTGATCTCCATGAAAAAAGGGGCATTGTATCAAAGTGTTCCAGTAGTTCTTGACAGAGAAAGGCCCAACCCTAAGAAACGCCATAAAAGAATACAAATCAAATGGGCTATTCTAAACTGGAGTCCCGGTCACAACCAACCTCCGTTTGGCTTTCAAGTTGTTAACGGCACAGCTTGTTGAGCATCTCCATTCTTAATCATGTATGCCTAGTCAAGAACAACTCTCCACCACTCTATCATTTGCAGTGGTGAGTCCGACATCGCATATTCATTAGCCAAAATGGTATAAGTGCTCAAAACTAAATCATATTGTTAAGGCGTTGGCATCTTTAGTCCTCTTACTGCCATAATACATGTACACCTTCAAAGAACCAACTGTAGTGTGCTCTTCTAACTGTGTCATCCACACTGACAACACAGCTGGCAGACACACAACCAAAGTCATTCTCGTATGTGAAGAACAGACCATGTTAGAACACATTTCTTTCATGGTCTCGTAGCTAGCTCACCCACTCTCAGAGCTTTCACCAATAGAAGAAATGGGTATATATCTTCCATTTCCTCCAAATCTACAAATTTATCAAAACCAACCAATGAAAGAATAGTCAGGGTTTTACCCAAACCCATTTCGTCTGCGAAGATCCCACCACGGATAGGATCAGGACAGCTCTCTGTACTGTAATTCGCCAATGCGTTGACAAAATGCCCGTCTATTTCCTCCCAGCAAGGAGGCAAGTATTTGGCTTTCTCCTGCTGGACTAGATACCATAATCCTTCCTTCTGATGTGGAAGAAGTTCAGACTTTATGATGGCATTTGGAGGGTCTAATGTCCCCAAAGCTTTCTTCTCACCGAGAACCTTAAAAATCTCATCTACATTTCTCCTCACAGCAGCATCCACATGTTCTTTCACAATGGGTAACTCTGGTAAAGCCAAAGAAGGGTCATTTGCAGAAATGAAGTGCAACCTAGCAGTTTGAATTATGGATTTGACAGTTGTGAATGCATATATCGTGGCAAAGATGTGAATTTGGCATGGGACCTCATAGATATATCCTTCCCAATACATCTTTGGCATAACACCTAGTTCATCACACCAACACAAGTAAATGCAGAGCTTAACCAAAACAAAACACAGACTATGATCCTTACAAACATCAAAGAGTTTATATTTTGTACAAGGCAAAATGACACCAATCATCATAGATTCATAGATATACCTTGGATCATGATTATCCCATAGTCCATGAGAGGAGATAAGACTCGGGCAGCGGAGGACTCGATGTGACCGACCTCTTCGTTGAGAAGGTTGAACACCTGGATAGCAAGGAAGTCACTGGGGTTGAATGGTTGACGGACAAGCTTCACCAATTCGCCGCTGATGAAACCGCCGGCATAGCGTCTGAGGCACAAAATGTTGGCCGTCACCAAGCCCACCAAGTACATGTCGTCAGCCAGCTGCGGTGAGGATGAAGAAGCAGAAGATGAGCTCTCTGCAAACTGATCAGCACCAGTGAAAGGGTCGTCCAGCATCATGAAGGGCTGTGCTGGGTCTTGATCATTCGCCATTTCAATTCCTTGAAGCTTTTGTGGACGATGAAGCTTTTGGAATGGAGAAAATGAAAGTGGAGTGTGGTTTCTGTTTTAGTAGACGATAAAGGTGTTGGCGGTGGAGGGTTATAGAGGGGGTGCAGAGTTTATAATAAGAGAGGGAGAGACCGATTAGTAACGGCAGATTTTATGTCATTTTTGGAAGTGGTCATGTTGACTTTGGCAGATATTTTAAAAATTCAGGAGCCAACTAAACTATAATATCAGGGGGGGATTTCGTAAAAAAAGTAAAAACGTTTGAAAATTCCAAAAGAAGATTGTTATACGGAGTAAATTTTTTTCCCATCATGTTTTTGTTCCATAATTCCATAATATAAGTGTGCAAGATATGTACATAAAGTTTGCAATGTGCACAAGATGTGCAAAAGATGTGCACAAGATGTGCAAAAGATGTGCACAAAAATATACATAAATCCCATTGTAATGCAGATATCCTGGCAAAGATGTGAACTTGGCATGGGATCTCATATATGTATCCTTCCCAATACATCTTTGGCATAACACCTAGTCCATCACACCAACACAAGTAAATGCAGAATTTAACCAAAACAAAACACAGACTATGATCCTTACAAACATCAAAGAATGGCAAAATTGACACTAATCATCATAGATTCATAGATATACCTGCGATCATGATAATCCAATCATCCATGAGAGGAGATAAGACTCGGGCAGTGAAGGACTCGATGTGGCCGAGCTCTTCGCTGCAAAGGTTGAGCACTTGGATAGCATGGAAGTCACAGGGTTGAATGGTTGACGGACAAGGTTCACCAATTCGCAGGTGATGACACCGCCGGCGTAGTGTCTGAGGCACAAAATGTTGGCGGTCACGAAGCCCACCAGGTACATGTCGCCAGCCAGCTGCGGTGACTCGGTGAGGATGAAGAAGCAGATGATAAGCTCTCCGCAAACTGATGAGCACCAATGAAAGGGTCATCCATGAAGGGCTGTGCTGGGTCTTGATCATTGGCCATTTCCTTGAAACTTTTGTTGCTGTTCTCTGTATCTGGAATGGATAAAATAAAAATGGAGTATGCTTTCTGTTTTAGTAGACTATGAAGAAGTTGGCGGTGGAGGGTTATATAGGGAGTGCAGAGTTTATAATAAGAGAGGGAGAGACCGATTAGTAACGGCAGATTTTACATCATTTTTGGAAGGTGAGAACTCCGGTACCATTCACTTAATTGGTCCAGATAGATATATCATTTTTAATTTAGACTTAAATAATTCAACTACAACATTCTGATTGGTCCATGTGAGCAAAGGTATGGTACCTTATGGGTACTATAGAATCTACCTTTTTGGAAATGGTCATGTTGACTTTGGGGCTTAAAACCTGATGCAGTGACGCTTATCCCAATTTGTTTGAATTAGGCTCAATTTGTTAATATTTATGAAAGTTTTATTGAAATAGCTGAATCTGCAGATTTATTGAAAGATCACTTTTATTAATAAAATAAAGAAAAAAATAGATGAAAAATAGCTGGGATGGTTCTTTACAATAATTTCACTCAGAAAAAACAACCATAACCTCACTTGTTTTGATTATTACTCAATTTGGTGTAATGGAAAGATCGTGACAACTTAATACTCCAAAGTAGTTAAAATCATTCTCCAACGTTTGTTATCATTGACCAAGAAAAATCAAATTGACTGAGTTTTATGGGGCGAGGAAAGTATTACATTTATTATTGTAATATTACATTTTTTATTATAAGATTAAAAACAAAGGTTATAATTTTGAGCCACTTATAAAGGTTATAATTTTTAGCCACTTATAAAGGTTATAAATTTCACAACTTAATGATTAAATTAGCTTTTCTGACTGAATGAATAAGTCATCTTTTCAATTAAGTCGTAAGTAAAGATGACTTAATGACTAAATGATTAAGTCACCTTCCTCATCAAGTCCATTGAGTCATAAGTAAACAGCTCCTTAGTGTATGTTCATATATACAGGGGAGTCAAAGAAAAATACCTTTTAGTACGTGGCATGGGAGTTTTAAAGCTAAATAAAATACTTATTAGTAACATGATTGTAGTAAAAGAAAATTACTTTTTATAGTTATCTTCCGTGTGCTTGCATTTTTGAAAGTGTTGAATAATTATCCTATAGATAGTGTTTTCATATACAGCACTTTTCTATAAAAGAAATTAAACGATTCACAGTATCTGACTTCACAACTTAAATTAGATTTCACAATTTTCATTGCTGGAAATGCTTATTCTACACGGTTGTAAGAGCAAGTGAGGTCAATGCAACCTTTAAAAGTAAATAAATTAACTGATAAACATTATCAGGGACGGACCTAGGTATAGGGGTAGGGGGCATTGCCCCCCCCCCCCCCCGCAACTTTTTTATTTTTTACTAGTACTAGTATTAGATATGAAATTATCAGAAACAATTAGGTCAGAACTACATGATAGAAGCCTCTATTTTAGGTCCTTTCGGGTAGAATTTTTTGATGAAATTTTGAAACCATGTTTTTCATGAAGTGTAAATTATGTAACCTGAAAGCCTCTGATGGTACGAAGAAGAGGTCCGACTCGGATTGCTTGGTTGGAGTGTCATGAGGATGCACATTTTGCAAAAGATGTGAGCACATCATCTAATGACTACGTCTTTTGGGGGTGGTATGCAAATTGAGGACTCCATGTCATTGCGATCTTGTAGTGCCATTAGCATCTTGGAGAGCAGTTCTGTACATCTATTTCTGCTGCAATCAGCATCACACTCACACTGATTATTTACCAAAAAAGTAAAAGGCTCAAATAAGTATTCCTTCACTTATATATAACGTTTTCCGTTTCAGATCCTTCATCCTTGAAATTTGATTTATTTGTTATTGTTATTTATCCCTTCATGATTCTAATTGGCCGTGTTTTCATTTTAGTAAATCCTCATCAAAGTTCTTTTTACAGGCTTAATGGAGGTTGAAGTTTGGTCACGCTATCAAATAACCCTAAAGTTTCTCAAGTTTGCATGTAAACCTTTTTGAAGAGAACTCCTTTGCCACAAAAATATAATAGGATTTAATGATATCAGTTGGAATTAAGTGTTTTGGACATAAGAGTTCTACTTCCGATGCATCTTACAGATTAACATGTTTATGTTTTTCACTACTTTAGGAAACAAATATTTGGAACCAGTGTTGAGTAATTTAGACATGAAATACTCAAACTCCTACAGTCCTACTCATAGCAAATGGAGTAACATCATACCATCTATAGAAATCTAAGATGACAAATGGTATATTTAGTAATCTGATCAACCCTCAGGAGAGGTAGAAGAAATTAAATGAAAACACACTATGATCAGCAACTGGGTAAACGTATCAAGCACAAATAGAATAAAAATAAAATGATGCAATGTAGAAGAAATTAAATGAAAACACACTATGATCAGCCAAAGTCAGCTTACCTCCAATTTTAGCTGTTGGAAGGGAATCTCAAAGTTTCGCACGAACCAAGGACACATCTGCACATATTTTACAGTCCAATAATTCTTCATTGAACATTCCTCACAGATATAGTTTTTAATAATTTCCTTGCCTATAAATTTCATCTGCTCATAAATTTCCCTTTCTGCTTCAGAGAGTTCCAGCTAATATGTCAATATAGTTTTTGTTGGCAATCCAACCAGTGTTTTGTCTTTTGTTCTTCTCAATGACATTGATTCCATTAGAGCCTGATATGGCAAAAATAGAGTCACTGACAGTTAGAGATCTACCCAAACCACAATGTTTCTTATAGGCAGGCCTGCAGCAATAATGTAATTAGAATAGCAATAGCAATGGAAGAGAAAACATAATTGTAATCTAAGATAAGGAAAAGAATGCACAAAAAGAACGAGCAATTGTTCTTATTATCTTTTTATTACTTCCGACTCAAGAAAACCGAGTTATTGAAAGATGCAGCTTTTAAATGTTACTAGAGGACCTAGTAACCACAAATTAGGTGATTACATCTGATAATAGTCTCTGACTTTCAAACTCATATAGCAGAACTTTTTTCTCTTATTTTCTTGTTATCTTGTCCTGAAACAAGATAACTTACTAAGTTGAAACAAGATAACTATTTCTCGTGAGGTAACAATATACCATCCACAGAAATCTAAGTTGACAAATGGTATATTTAGTAATTTCATCCACTCTCAGGAGAGGGTACATGTAATTAAACAAAAAACGCAATAATTACGAATGGGCGAAAGCCGCAAAACGTACTAATCCAACATAGAATAAAAAAAACGATGCAGTTCAGACAGGAGAAAGCAGGGGGGTACCAAAGTCAGCTTACCACCAATTTCAGATGTTGAAAGTAAATCCCGAAGCTCTGCCAGTGCAGGGACACATCTGCACATATTTGTCAATGGGCGCACAAGTGTACTCACTACAGTCCAATAATTTTATTAGAATAGCAATAGCAATGGAAGAGAAAATGTAACTCTAATACAAGGAAAACAATGCACAACAGAACAAGAAAATGCCCTTATTATTTGTTATTTATTTCCTACACAACTCCCACAAGAAAACCGAGTTACTGGACAAAAACTCGCTCCATCACTGGACGAGTAGCATGCTCCTAGTTAAATGTGAAGGATTAGAAATAAAAAAATTAGGAAACTTTGAGGTTAAAAAAACCTAAGGAACTTCAATTAAATAGAATACTATTTCAAGGTTTTACTATTTCCTAAAAACAGCTAGATCTCCCTCAAGGCCTCAATATGTGTTTGTGGACATGGAGGAGAGGGAGGGTAATGCTGATCTGGATCCAAATGTTGATTAATTTGGGTTAAAATTGATTGCATGGTGGGATCTTCTTTAAATGCTTTAAGAATTGCGATCATATTGTGGATTATAGTATTGTTTTTTGTTTTATATGTATAAGACCTATAAACAACTATCATTAGAAATTTGTAGCATGCTGCTTTTAAATGTTACGGAGTACTACTTACTAGAGGACCTAGTAACCGCCTATAACCACAAATTAGGCGCTTACATCCGATAATAGTCCTAATTAAAACTTGCCTTTGACGAAGTAGTTTTCAAGTAATGATAGTGCTTAGTTCCTATAAATACTCAGCCAGATGAAAAAAGCAATGGAAAATGCAATCCCATTGTACACAACAATTTTCAAACTCATATAGCTGAACCACTTCCTCTTACGTAGTATTACTTACTCGGTATTATCTTAATTTCATAATATATACAACTAAAGCTCCACATGAAAAAAATCATGCTTGATAGACAAAGTCCAGCAAAGAAAAGAAGTGAGAGAACTGCTTTTACCTGAAGCCGCAAATTTCCCATCTGATTTCCAAGAGAAAGGGGGCACTGTATCAAACTATTCCAGTAGCTCTTGAAGGAGAAAGGTTCAACCCTATGAAACGCCATAAAACACAAAAACGACACTAGCTCACGCTTCTGAATTACTTGCCTCTGGAATTTATTTCATCTTCTCCACTTAGGTTTGTCATAAAGGTGGCGTAGGAATGGCTGAGGAAGATGGTGGCCTGGCAGAGGACGACGCCGATCTGAACGAGGAAGATAGCGCACTAGCTGAGGACGATGGCGGCCTGATTGAGGACTACGGATTGCAGCAACGATGACGACAGCCCCACAACAGATGACGATGACGACGTCCTTGCAACGGGAGCCAGCGGTGGCGGCCTTGCAGCGGACCATGACGACATTTCTGAGGATGGCGAGTTGGCGACCGCCCACGATTGCAGCTACATCCTTGATTACACCAAGTGGTTACAACCTAGGTTCAATTGACAGCGGCTGCGACCTTGAATTGCTAAGGGAGGCAACACATTATGTTCAACGAGAAATAAAAAAATAAAATAAAATAAATAAATAAATAAAATAATTTAAAAAGTAAAATAAAGAGAAAACTGTCAAATAGATCCTCGAACTTTCATAAAAAAGTCAAATAAGTCTTTATATAGGAGGATCTCTCCGGCCGTCGCGATTTGAATGCGTTCTCGATTGAAGTTTTAGCTGAAATTTGGTATGAGTAAACTAGACTTGATGAATAAGATGATCAAAAATTTTCATCAAAAAATTCCACCAGGAACCGCACCAAATCGTGACGGCCGGATAGAGTCTCCTATATAAGGACTTATTTGACATTTTTATGAAAGTTCGAGGACACAGTTTTCCCATAAATAAATAAAACAAACTCTTCCTCCAGTTCCTCTCATTTTAGTTAACCCAAGTACCCAACTACATGATGGTATGTAGCACCTATGGGAAAGAGGAAATGGAGAAACCGCAAAACCAAAAAAAGTAGGATACAGATACAGGAAAATGCAAAAATGAGTATGAGAATACGACAAAACAAAAAAAGTAGGATATAGATATGGGGAATATTTACAAATATTAAAATTATGGGGGTGTATTTATAATATTACAAATTACTAGATTTTTTTAAAAATATATACATATATCATCCCGACCCCTGCACATTCATAAATCAGCGAACTCAAATACTCATATATTCTCCGTGCTCTTAAAGTCTTCTTCATCAACTTCCTACATTTTAAGAATTCTAGTTATGTGCGAGACTAATTAAAGATTAAATAGGGACGAAAGGAGTATTTATATAGTGAAGTATTGATATGAAAATGTTCTTTGTTAAATATAGTATTATAAACGTATAAATTTATTAAAGTTTGCATAAATATATTAGTTAAAATGATTGGTCAAATTTTACCATTTTTTACTAAAAAATCAAATATGACTAACTAAAATCGGACGGAGGTAGTATCTCTGTTTTTATTCATGAATAGATTTCTTCACTAAATGTATATAGAAATTAATATTCCAATTTTTCAAAAAAATCCAGATTTCTAGCATTTTTTAATGATATCTGTGAATGCATTGGTCACTATATGTGTTTATTTGATGACTTAATCACACTTTAATTTGATATGTTTAGTAAACAATATCATTCATTCCAAATTTCCAATTAATGTGTTCTTTTCTTTTCCAAAAGGCACTTCAACCATGTTTTTTAGAAGTGAAACAATACATTATAATTCACTCATGCGGTGCCTCTTCTCAAGCTTAAGTAGCATTTGAACTAGAACAGATACTATGAGAGACTAGAAAATTCACCCAAAAATAAAGCAGCACTTGAACAAATAAAAAAAACTAGTATTGGACATAGTCTGCTGAGACTCTATTATTCCATCCCAAAATCGAAATCCCAACGGATATAAATAATCATCACCTACATGGTAAAGATAAGAGTTAACCTCTCTCACCACGTCCCAAATAACATTGTTGATCGGAATGTATGTCGCTTTTCAAAATACCATTTGTGACCCAAGCATTTAGACCCCCCCCCCCCCCGACTCACTGTTGACTGAAACCCATCGAATGCCTTAATAACCATCACTAAGTGAAAAATTGTGCTGCCATGTGTAAACATCGGTGTTGGAAACCTTAAGTCGTCCTCGCAAACACATTGGTGACAAAAACCTTCCACCGCCCGTACGCCGCGCGCGCCCTCCCTAACAAATCGATGACCTAAAGAAAAGTTTTTGTATATTAAATATTTCAATATTGTTTGTCAAACTTTTACATAATGGTTTTCACCTCTCAAAGTTTCATACAAATCTCATATCAATGCAGTATATCGGTTTGAAATTTATCTTATTCGGTTAGTCCTTGTACTTATGCTCTAAAATTAGGATAGATTACTTAGACAAATAAATACATGTGATTTTATTTGTAAATCTTAATTGCATAGAAACTTTTTACATTCTTCACATGTGAGTTTCTTTTTTTGCTTTTTTTCTTTTCTAGAGGAGCAGCTCTTTGATTCCCTTTCTGAGAAAGACCATCTTCTCCTTAAGGAGGCTCAGGCTATATACTTTCAATACTCGGCCCATATTAACACTTTTTAGAGACAAAAGGATAAGATAAACTGGCTAAAGGATGGAGATGTGAATACCAAGTTTTTTCATCTATCCCTTATGGCTAAAGGATGGAGATGTGAATACCAAGTTTTTTCATCTATCCCTTATGGCCCAACATAAAAAGCTTAATATTTCTCGTATTAAAATGATGATGGTAATTGGGTTGAGAAGGATGAGGATATTAGCACATTAGATATTGCCTATTTCTCTAACCTTTTCAGTGCAGATGAGGATAAAGATAATTTAGACCCTGGTGATTATCTCCATAACATCGAGGCAATTATTAGTAAGGAAGATAATATCCACATTATGAAGCTCATCTCTCCTGAAGAACTTAAGGATGTGGTGTTTAGCCTTGGCAAATTCAGTGCTTCTGGTAATGATGGTTATGATGGTTTTTTTTTTACCAATGTGCCTATGAGATCATAAAAGATGATCTTCTTAATGCGGTCAGGGAGTTCTTTTGTGGGGTCCCTATTCTTAAAAGCATATGAGTTATAAGTTTTCAAAATTCAGACCGATTAGTCTTAGTAATTTCTTAAACAAGATTTTTACAAAATTTATAACTAATAGAATCTCCTCTCTCCTCCCTAAACTTATCTGGGATGAGCATACTACTTCTAAAAACAGGAAGAGATCTCTGATAGCATTTTGGTCCTTTGTGAATTACTCAACCATATTGATAACAAATTCGTGGTCATAACATTATTTTCAAGCTTGATATAACGAAGGCCTTTGATAGAATCTCTTAATGTTTTATTGAAAATATTATGATTAAATTTGGTTTTCACTCTTCCTTTTTGAATCTTATTATCAACAACTTGAATGACAGTTAGAATCTAGTGCCCATTATCAAACCTTCGAGGGATGTTAAATAGGGTGAGCCCTTCTCTCCCAATCTCTTTATTATTGCGGCTGAAATCCTCTCTAGAAACTTACATGTGTTATATGCTACTGGTAAAGGTTCAATACATTTTCTCATATGCCCATTATTAGTCATTTTCTTTTGCAAATGATTTTGGTGATTTTCTCTAATGCTAGTAAGGAAACTCTTACTGCTTTGCATAACACTATATTTTACTATGAAAAAATTTCTGGCCAGCTTATGAATAAGGAAAAAAAAATTACCTTATATCGAAGCATGCAAAATTCCATAACTAGAATGTTGTGAATCATACTTTTCACACAATCACATTAATAATGGTTCTTTTCTTTTTAAGTATCTTGGTTCTGATATTTACACCGGTCGCTCGCGAAATGCTCATTTTGACCATGTCTTGGCTAATTGATAGTAAACTGTCTGGCTGGAAACATCATATCCTTTCAACGGGAGGTAGGATGATTTTAATTAGATATGTTTATGTGCTTAGTTCTTTTCCTCTTTACCATATGGTCGACTCCTCTTTCCCTAAATCGATCTGTGATCCAAAAAATGGAGCATAAGCTCACTGAAAGTAGCATAGGTGGTCCCATTGTTGTTATCTGTTTGCTGAGAACGGGCTGGATTTTCGTAATCTAAATTCCATCCAAAAAAACTTACTTTATTGAACTCTCATGGAAACTCAATACTGTTAAGGGTTTATGGGCGAATTGGGTTAACTCTCTTGAAGATTCATCGTTTTCTGATATGCATAAAGCACTCTCTTTTGTCCAACTTATTTTTGATAATAATTGTTGTATCTAGGTGAATAAAGGCAATGGCTCTTTCCGGCATTCTAATTGGACTGAACTTAGCCCCTTGTATCAATACCGGGAAATCATCCCTACCACCCTTGCCAACTTGACGATCAATGAGGCTATGGTCGATAAATGACTGATACCTTCAATCCAGGACATTGTGCCTCGTTATGTTAAAGACAAAATTCATGCTTTGAATGTCCAGATTTGCAACACTGATGATACATGCATTTGGCAACCTATTTGATATGCACTAGTTTATAGTGCATAAATGTATGTTTTTATATTTATTTTGTGTGGATTGTTTACCATTATTAGTTAGTTTGTAAGCATTTGTTTTGTTTCAGTTGTAATTGTTTTTGACTTCCATTTATAGTTATAGAATAGTGGTAGAGTTTTTGGCAAGAAAAAGGAGAAAAAGTCAACAGGAATGCGGCCCAGGGAGATCCACCCGACCGGGTAGAAATCTTCACCCGGTCTGGTCTGATTTAAAAACCGAACCTCAGAGGAAAGAGCTGGACCCGGTCGGGTCAACTAATCCACCCGGTCGGGTCTGACTTGACCCGGGACATTTTAACGTGCTAAAACACAAGAACGTGGAAGATTGTCTTATTTGGACATGCACCCGGTCGGGTGGGCACTTGACCCGGTCAGGTACCCGGCCCAAGGTGTTGAAAAACACCTATAAATAGCACATTTTTCCTTCACAAATATTCATTCCTTCTTCTATATTCTTAAGCTCAGTTTAGAATAGTATTTCTTTTATATTTTTATAGCATGTTTAGTCTCCAAATGAGGAGCTAAGCTTCCATTTCTTGGTGTTGCTCTTGAAGCTTGTTGATTATTAAAGTTGTGAGTTATTTTCTTAACTTCTTTCCTTGAATATTAATTCTTCCTTTAAATACTATTTCTATATCAATGTTGGGGAGTATTACTAAGATGACAATTAGTTAACATCTTGACATTAGTTATAGTAATAGTTATTTCTTCCTCTATGTTAATATTGGGGAGTGTTACTAAGATGACAATTAGTTAACATCTTGATATTAACTATAGTAGGATTCATCTTCTTTAATATTCTTTCTTGAGAATTAATTAATTATTCCTATTCATATTTCATATTAATATTTTGAACATTACTTAAAGGATCAACTAGTTTTGTTTCATATATATTAATTATTACTAGAAACGATCAACGAACCGATGGTTAATCGTT